GGGTGATCACATATCAAATTTCAACAGGGAAGTGATCACAACATTATACAACTGCCAAAACATTGAGAATCATGGCCAAGTCAAGCTGACACACAATCTTAACCATCACAGGCATTAGAGAAGACAAATGGAAGGATATGCATGTATGTGGATAGGTAGATTCAATATCATGAACATATCAATCTTTCCTCAATTTGACCTATAGATTTAATACAGTTCCAGTAGAGATCCCCATAGGGTTTTTGACAAACTTAGTCAAAAGTGTGAATGGTCAACAATGTCCACGGTACGGTGGGGGGACCAGTCCTCCCAGATATGCAGTGGTATTATAAAGTCATAGTAATGAAGGCATTGTAGCATTGGCCCAGGGATAGTCAAACTGACCAATGGAACAGAATAGAGAGCCCTGAAACAGATATGGCGAATCACTGGGGAAAGGATAATTCTTTTTCAATAAATAGTGCTATGACAGTTGGGTGTCCTTAAAGAAATAATAGTGAAATTGAATCTCTAAATACACTTTTAAAAAATTCCCAGTGGATTAAGGACTTAAACGTGAAAAGCAATATCTCTAGGAAAATAATATAGAAGAGTATAGCACTTCAGGTAAAGAAGGATTTCTTTAACATGATGCGAAGAGAACTAACTATAAAAGAAAAGATCAATAAATTTGGCTACTTTAAGATTAAGGGCTATTAAAAGAGTGAAAAGACAAACCACAAACAGGAAGAAGATATTTGCAACATATGTAACTGACCACCAAGGATTGATGTCTGGAATATAGGAAGATCTTCTGTACGTCCATAGAAAAGACCCAATAGAGAAACAGGCAAAGGACATGAATGTGCCTTTCCATAAGAGGAACCTGAATGGCCAATAAATTTTAAAATATGCTCAGCCTCATTAACAATCAGAGAAATGCTAATATGGATCACAATGTATTACCATTTTGAGAATCCTTACAACACCAAATATTGGTAAAGATACGAAGTTAGAGTGTAGAATGGTACTATATTGGAAAACAATTTGGCATTATCTTGTGTAATTAAACATGCACGTACCTAGGACCCAGCAATTCCATGCTTAGGTATGCACCTACCCTAAGCAGAGCTCCCCCTGCTGTGCCCTGAGTTGGTTCAGATGTGTTAAGACACTGAACCCCTCTTCCCTTGTGGTGGGCTGGCCATAGCCTGGGGTTGCTGGAGCCCCCAGATCTTTGCCTTTGATCATGAGTATTTGCCTTAGTACGTCATACAAATATCCTGAAAAAGGCTGGGAAGAAATTTCCTAGAGAAACTCTCGCAGGTGTGCATCAGGAGACATATACATGAATATTTATAGTAGTAGTTTTAAATGAGAACAAAAAGGAAACTTCTGTCTTAGTTATTCTCTCACAGTCTCAGAGGCTAGAAATCCAAATTCAGGATGCCAGCTCCAGGGGAAGGCTTTCTTTCTCTGTCAGCTCTGAGGGAAGGTCCTTGTCATCAATCTTCCCCTGGTCTAGGAGCTTCTTAGCGCAGGGACCCCAGGTCCAAAGGATGTACTCTGCTCTTGGTCTTCTTGCTTGGTGGTAATGAGGTCCCTCTCCTCACTTCTCTCTTTTATGTCTCAGAAGAGACTGACTCAAGATATAATCTAATCCTGTGGATTGTGTTCTGCCTTATTAACATAACTGCCTCTAATACTGCCTCATTAACATCATAGAGGTTAGGATTTATAATAGGATAATCACATAAGATCACAAAATAGTGGACAACCACACAGTACTGGTAATCATGGCCTAGCCAAGTTGACACACATTTTTTGGGGACACAATCCAATCCATAACATTGCCCAAATTTCTATTGAAATAAAAAATGATAAATTGGATGTATTCACTTAATACAATATTATACATTAGTGAAAATGAACTACAGTTACGTGTAGCAATTTGATTAATGTCCAGAAACATAAAAATCAGTGAAAAGCAAGTTACAGAAGACTAATGCAGTGTGTCATTTTTATGAAGTTCGAAGAAAGCCAAAACAAGCAACCTGTAGTTTAGTGATGTATACGTGTGCATTGATACAATTTCTAAAAACAATAGAATGCTAAACACGAAATTCAGAGTAGTGGTCATTTCTGGGGCAAGGCGGGGATAGGACAGGAAGGAATACGCAGGAAGCTTCAACAGTGTTGGTGATGTTCTAGGTTTGTTTCTATAATTAGGCTAATCACTTATCTGTATACATAGTACATATTCTTTTAATGTATTAAATATTACATGATTTAAAAAAATTAAAAAGAAGCGGTTAGAGGAACAGAAGACTGATTTGAGAAAACTTTGAAACGGACGTGAGGGTCCAGGGAGGCTCATTTTGAGCCCATAGTGGGGGTATCTTTTAGATTAATTCCTGTCCATTTCTGTCTGCAGCACAATTTTGCTCTCCTGGTTACTCAGCCTTAATTCTTTAGAGTTCTCTGTGTGACTCAGTCCTCACACAGCCTGATGAAGCAGGAGGAGGCTCTTCACTTGGGGCCAAGGAGGCCCAGGCTCTGGAAACTCATCTAATGTCCTCAAAGAAGCCACCTTTCCACCCAGTGTGGCACTGCCTTCTACTATTTCTCAGTGTCTTTTGGATTCCTTCTTTTTCATTCCCACTGTTACTGCCCTAATCTAGGCTCTCATCTTCAGGGTCCTGGAGGGGAGACGATGCAAGGGACTGCTGCCACCATGTCCCTATTTAAATATTTTTTGAGTCCAAATAACCATACACCCTCATTTAAATGTTGTCTTCACTTATGCAGATATTACCATTTGCTGCTCAAATGTTTGGGGGGCAGATTCCCCTGGTGGGGTGGCGGTGGTGAAACTGTAGAACTGACAGCTTGTTTTCACACAGGACTGGCCTCAGAAGTTCAGCTTTCGTTTATTTTACACCATACCCGATTGGGGCTTCTGACTTGTGCCATCCCCTGTATTTACATGGTGCTCGACAGATGAGCTGATTTTTGGTCTTTTTACATCTCAGTGACCACCTCTGGCTCCAACACGGATCTTTGTGAACAGATGTTTAAACTTCAGGTCTTCTGGCTAAACTCTGGACTTGAACCATAGAATCATAGCGCATAGGATGTTTGTGCTGGGAGGTCACTGCTGAGTCCAAACCTCTTATTTTATATTTGAAAAAGAAGGTCCAGAGAAGGTGGCTGACCTGTGCTGCATCACAAACTGATGGTGTCAGAGCTGGAACCAGAACTCTGCGGGTTGGGCTGCCGTGTTACCTCACAGGCATTTCTTTGAGTTTGCCTCCAGTTTGGTAGTTTTTTGTATATCTGTCTTACTCTATATGACTAAATTTTTTTTTATTGTACTTTAGGTGAAGGTTTACAGAACAAATAGTTTCTCATTACACAGTCAGTACCAGTATTGTTTTATGACATTGGTTAACAACCCACAACATGTCAACACTCTCCCTTCTTGACCTTGGAGGACCTTTTTTCTTTTTTGGTGAAACTATACGTAGCCAAAGATACACCATTTCAAAAATTCCTACATGTACAATTCAGTGACATCAATTACGTTCTTCCAGTTGTGCTGCTATTCTCATTATCATTTTCCAAATTATTCTATCACCATTATCTTCAACTCACTGCCCCCTAAGATTCCAATCAAACCTTTGGAGTTGCTGTTGTCAGTTTGATCTCACATAGATAATTTTTTTTTTTTTTTTTTAACTTTAGGTGAAGGTTTACAGAACAGAATAGTTTCTCATTAAACAGTTAGTACACATATTGCCCTATGACAATGGTTAACAACGCCATGACATGTCAACACTGTCCTTTCTCAACCTTGGGTTCCCTATCACCAGCTTTCCTGTCCCCTCCTGCCTTCTAGTCCTTGTCCCTGGACTGCTGTGCCTCACTGGTCCCATTTTGTTTTATGGGGCTGTCCCGTCCCCGGCTGAACGGTGAACCTCGGGAGTGACTTCACCCCTGAGCTAAAAGGGTAGCTGGGGGCCATACTCTCGGGGTTTCTCCAGTCTCTGTCAGGCCAGTAAATCTAGTCTTTTTTTTTGTGTTAGAATTTTGTTCTACTTCCTTCTCCAGCTCTGTCCAGAACCCTCTGTTGTGATCCTGGTCAGAGCAGTCAGTGGTGGTAGCCGGGCACCATCTAGTTGTACTGGACTCAGTCTGGTGGAGGCCTTGGTAGCCATGGTCCATTAGTCCTTCTGACTAATCTTTTCCTTCTATCCTGTTCTCTTCATTCTCCGTTGCTCCCGAAGGGGTGAGACCAGTGGAGTATCTTAGATGGCTGTTCACAGGCTTTTAAGACCCCAGACGCTACTCACCAAGGTAGAGTGCAGAACATTGTCTTTATAAACTGTGTTATGCCAACTGAGCTAGATGTTCCCTGAGACCATGGTCCCCACAGCCCTCCACCCAGCAGTTCAGTCTCTCAGGGAGTTTGGATGTGTGTATGGAGCTTCTGTGACCTTTCTTCGTGCAAGTTATACTGGCTTCCCCAGTATTGTGTACTATCTTACCCTTCACCAAAGTAACCACTTATCTATTGTATATGACTAAATTTTGAGGGGAAGGATTTTATCTTACTCACGTTTGCATCATTTGATGTAACAGAGCCTCTCAATATTTGTTAAATGGAAGTGAAAACATGCCTCTGTACCAAGCATGCTGTCTTTCCTACTCCTCATCATCTAGCTAAATCCTGCCTGCCTTTGACCATGCCCAGCTTGGCTCGTGGTTCCGGCTTGAAGACTCGGTCTAATCGCTCCCCACATTCTGACCTCCCAGAGTCTACTCGTGTTGTAAAACCACCACTTTACATGTACACAGCGGCTGCCAGTTTATAAAATACATTTCTATAAAATGTATCCTGTAATCCTTCCAATAATCCTGCTAGAAATATCCCCACGTTGAGGAGACAGGCTGGGAGGTCACACTTTTGGGAAGTAAGTAGCAGAATTCAGATCTCCTGATTCAAGTCCATTTCTCTTTTGACATCCTGTGCTGGTGGTCTGTGTGGTGGAGCAGACATTGTGCTCCCTGATTACATTGTCTTACTTGTCCTTTGTTGAAAAGGAGTTCATCCTGCTTCCTCACCCTGATTACCAACTGTTTGAGAGAGGTGGCTGGATCCTACGTTCCTTTTATGCCATTTATAGTTGCTGGGCACGTAGGAGTTGCTTATCAAAGACTGTTAAACTGGATGCAAATGAAATTCCCTTTAATTTACCAAAAAAAGAGCAGTTATTACTGGAGCCCTGAGGAGCTTTTTGAATCACTCCTGGATGAAATCAACAGGAAGCAGAGGGGACCACAGGAAGGAAGAGGCTGTTAGACAAAGCCAGTGGCAGACACAGTTAGCAACTAAGTGACAGCTGGCCCGTTTGTTGTCTGTCCAGTGGTGAGGGGTTGTGGAGAAGTAATACACAAGAAGACCGAGAATACACAAGAAGTCTTCAGAAAATATGCAGGCTTACTGGAGAGATGGGACATGCTCACGAGATGGGAGTCGACCCTTAGGAGTAGGGTAAAATGCATACAGGTTAAGCAAGGTAAAGCTTTCATACATATTGAGAAAACATAGATTAAATGTATACCCAGAGTAGGATGTGGTTTATGAGGACAGGCTTCCAGGGTGAGTGGAGTGGGTAGAGACTCACTTGGCTGTTTGTGATTGTTCTGTTAGCTATTAGGGCTGAGAAAAGGAACATAAATAGGTAAGGATGTTTCTGTTGAGACAACTTCCCTTTCCTTTTCTCCACTTCCTCCCTGAGCCCTGGTGGTCAGAGTAAAGGGAACCCAGGTGATTGTTTGTGTCTTCTGTGTTAGATGCTGTGTGGTGATGGCCAGACTCCCTGGATTTTCTGATACTGCTTCGTTTCATATATTCCTGGACATTTCCCCCACGATTCAGTAGAATTCTTTAGAAATTCAGGTACATTGACAACTAAACTATATTTGTAACTCTGCCTTTTCCCAGAAAGGTCACAGAAGTCCACTGGCAGATGATATTCCCCAGATTCTATTCAGAAAATCGTGCTGCATTTTATCTTTATGTTTGGGCTGTTCCTGAGTTCATAAACATTTTGCATCTGAACAAAATCTAAAACCTCTTCTAGTAGAAACCGTGTGGAAAATATCCAATTTCCCAACAGTAGAAGTCTATCCGTTCTCTTTTATGAGTTGCTTTCTCCTACAGAGAATGTTAAGAAGACCTCTTAGGTTAGAAGTAGTAGAGTTTTAACACCCACTCCTTCCCGTGTCAGTACTTTCCAAAGTTCAGAATTATTTTATGGGAGTCAAAAGTATGTGTATCTTAACTGCTTACAGGCAACAGTAGTTATGGGAAATTATTTCAGATTAAAAAATTGTCATTTCTATGCAGAGTAATTAATTAACTCTATCATGTTGGAGCCCTGGTGGTGTAGTAGTTAAGAGCTTGGCTGCTAACCAAAAGGTTAGCAGTTCGAATCCACCAGCCGCTTCTTGGAAACCCTATGAGGCAGTCCCACTCTGTCTAACAGGGTTGTTATGAGTCGGAATTGGCTTGACGGCAACAGGTTTGGGTTTTATCGTGCTCTTTGTAGTGGATTCTAAAATGTAAACCCTTATAGTTCTTGGGCATTCATATATAAATTTTTAAGGTGATACCTCATTTCTAGAAAATCAGTTAATACCAGTGGAGTCTATCATAAATTTTGGTTTATTTTTAAAGATTTATAGCTATATAGCAATTGTATTTTTATGTGATATGTAAATACAGATAGAGAAGGCCTAACTTAAAAAGAATACCATTTATAATATCTTTTTTATGGGAAAATCTTTCCCAAAGTCTAAACACAAACATTTGTGAGCAGATTTGTTGGTGTATGGAGCCTCATTGTCCTCTGTTGAGTATGAGCTCATCTTGCATCCTCACCTCGATTACCAAGCTGCTTAAGAGGGGTGACTTTAAAAAATGTACGTACTACAACGTGATCGCAGAATTCTGAGATTCATTTTTGTGTATGACTTATAAAACCTTTTTCACTACTTTATAGTCACTTCTCTCATATACAGAATCTCATTTCATCCTTATTAAAAAAAAACTAAGTATCATGTTTCTTGAATTTCCTCCTAACACTCCAACAAAATTTCTAAAATACTGCCTATCAATTTCTTATAAACTCAGGAATGCTCCCATTTTCATTGTTTCCCTTTCACAGGCTTTATGCTCCTCTCGTCTGTCATATCTTTCACCTCCTTGGCTTCTTCTCTTGTTGATTCATAGCCCTTTTGCTAACACAGAATCCTTATTTCAGAGTTAGCAAATCCATATTGAGGTTTCTTTTTTCACTCCCTTTTTAACAAGGCTCTATTGATTCTTTCTGAGTGACTGTCTTGTCCACTCAATTTAATTTCTATAATCTTAGCCTCCTGGCTTCAAAAATCTTTCTCAGAGGCACATTCAGAAGGTAGGAGATTGGTTTCCATAGCAACGCTTTCCCCAGGCTTGGCTGACGACAGAAACAAGGCATTCTACCTGCTCCGTGCAGAAAGAGGAGACTTAGTGAAGAAACCTGGTTGGGATGGTTGAGGAGTCTTTATGTAGGCTGAGCAGGGGAGAGCAAGTGGACCTAGTAAATGCCCTTGCTTACAAGATAAAAGAATCTCTCTGGCTTTTTTTTTTTTTTAATTATTATTTATTTTTTTATTTTTTATTGTACTTCAGGTGAAGGCTTACAGAACAAATAGTTTCTCATGAAACAGTAGTAGACATATTGTTTTATGACATTGGTTAACAACCCCACAACATGTCAACCCTCTAACTTCTCAACCTTTTTTTTTTGGTGAAAATACACATAGCCAAAGATACACCATTTCAAAAATTTCTACATGCACAGTTCAGTGACATTGACTACTTTCTTCCAATTGTGCTGTTATTCTCACTTAAGATGAAGGCTTACAGAACAAAATAGTTTCTCATTTAACAGTTACTACAAATGTTGCCCTCTGACAATGTTTAACATCTCTCTGGCTTTTGATTAAGCGACAACTACTGTGGACCTTTTCTAGCTATTACTACCTCCATATTTGACCATCTTTGCAATTTCTGTCTCACTAGCTATGTTAGCTAGTAGGCGGGTAGGCATCCTCCCGAATTCTTGGAACATGCTACCCTTACAACTCCCATATCAACAAGGCACCTCTCTCCTTTCTACTTGCCTTTAGTTTTTTGGGGTTTGACCTTGTTGTGACTTTGACTGCCCGCCTGGGATATCTTTTTGTACCTTATCCTTGTGGCCTGGACTTGTGGGTTGGTCTGTGCCACGTCACATGAGGCTCCCCGTTCCAGAAGGGAACACTGGGGGTTTCTCTGTTTCCTCTTCCCCGTACCTGTTTCTCCTTTCTGGAACTTTCTAATGGTTTTCTACTAAATCATCCCTCATCAGCTGTTGGATGGGCCAATGGGTTTTGTGGACAAAATACAATACTAGGAATTTCCTCTGAATTCATAGAAAAAAATCAGGTCGGTGGAAAGAATTTTAAGTTTTTCTACTATCAATGTTTTTTTTAACTTTATGCTTCTATGCTTTTCTGTGCTAGAATTTAATATAAAGTTGTTTCTGATATAGTACAAAATAACCTTCTCAGTTATTTTAAGTTTGCTATATCAGCATTTCCTTATGTTCTACACAGCATACCTTGACATTTGAGGGTTCCACCTGAGCATAGGTTCTGGGATCCATCAAGACTAATGTGGACAACTCCCACTAGGATGGCTAACATTAAAAAAACTAATAAATAACAAATGTTGGCGAGGATGTGGGGAAATTGGAACCCTTACCCATTGCTGGTGGGAATGCCAAATGGTACAGCTGTCGTGGAAAACAGTGTGGTAGTTCCTCAAAAAGCTAAAAATAGAACTACCATATGAACTAGCAATTCCATTCCTAGATATCCACCCAAAACACTTGAAAGCAGAGACTCAAAAAGAGACTTGTACACCAATGTTCATTGCAGCCCTATTCATGTTAACCAAAAGTGGAAACAACCTAAATGCCCATCAACAGATGAATGGATAAACAAAATGTGGTGCATACATACAGTGGAATACTACTCAGCCTGTAGGAGAAATGAAGTCTTGATACTTGCTACAATATGGATGGAGCTGGAAGACATTATGCTGAGTGAAATAAACCAATCACAAAAGGACAAATATTGTATGACTTCATTTATATAAAAAGACAAGAAAAGGCAAATGTATAAAGAACAAAGTTTATTAGTGGTTACCTGGTGTAGGAGGGAAGGAGAAAGGGGGGTTAACAGTGATGGGAAAATTGGGTTGATTAAGGGTAGGGTTGCACAGCTTATTATTGTAATTGCTGTCAATAAGTTGTACACCGGTAAAAAGTTGAATTGGCAAAAGTTGAATGGTAGATATATTTACCAAAAAAAAAAAAAAAAAAAAAAAAAGAGTAGCTGCTTGAGGCTGCTTATGTACAACCCAAAACTTCATGGGATTTGGTTTTTTAGTTGGGAGGTTTAGGGTCATGGTTTCATGGGACATCCCAGTTAATTGGCCTAATAACATGTTTAGTGTCTCTGTTCTACCTCCTAGCTCAATGCGTAGTACCTGGCGTCTTAAAAACTTGCAAGCGGTAATCCAAGGCACAAAAATTGGTCTCTCTTTTCCTGAAACAACAGAGGAAGGAGAGTCAGGAATAGAGGAGGATATGGAATGTGTGGCTAATTGTCTCCATGAACAACTGCCTCCTTTGCCATGAGACCAGAAGAACTGGATGGTGTCCAGCTACCATTACTGAATATTTTGATCAAAGATTCTATAGAGGAACCCTGATTAAAAGAGGAAAAATACAGAACAGAATTTCAAATTCTCATGGACTCTAGACTTCCTGTAGCCATGAAGTTTGGATGAACTCCTGAAACTATTATACTGAGACAATCTTTAAACCTCAAACCAAAAATATCTCCTGGAGCCTTCTTAAAACCAAACAATGGTTTAGCTTAACTGGTAAAAAAGGTCTGCCTTGAGCATTATGATCTTTTAAGATCTATATGACAACAATTTGAAAGATTAGATAGGAATGTAGGGGGCAGTGAATTTATGTTAATGAGGGAGGAACAACTCAGAAAAAGAGGATGAGGATGGTTCACAACTCAAAGAATGCAGTCAGTGTCACTAAATGGTATATGTAGAAACTGTGGAATCGGTGTGTTTTGCTGTGTATATTCTCAACAACAACAAAATAAATGTGTACATTATATACATAATCTGGACATATTCTTTGATGGCCTCAGTGTGTCCACTGATATACAGGAAAGGATCAGCAATGTGGCTAGTTACAGATGTGCTCTCAACGGTTCCCTCTGCTGGGGTTTCCTATCCCTTGGTGGGTGCTGCCTTTTGGTTCCCTTTTGGCCAATTTTGCCTAGAGTGTCTCAGGACTGTTCAGCCCTAGACTTAAAGCTCTTCCTTCCCTGTGAGTACCCCACTGCAGCTCTCTTCCCTACAGTCTCCTCTTATTTTTTCAAGCTCCAGGTAGCCCCT